CTACTAATCAAGCGTAAATATGTTGAATCAAATGCATTTTGATTATGTTTTGATGATAAATTACTTGTTGATAAATTATTAAGAGCTGTACGTAATGCATCAACATCAATGATTAATACAGATGATACATCAAGATTATTATCACATTGATGATGATGATGATGACGACGACGATTCCGTACTTCTGGTTGTTTGAAATTAATCTCATTTGTTGAATTTTTTGTATGTGCTAAACGAAGATCAATTAATGTTTGGACAACATCTTCAATACATATTCCAGTTTCCATACTAAACAAAGAAATTTTATTATTTCCCTTAGTTTTTTAACAAAATCAATAAACCTGAGTTCTGTAACAGTAACATGTATTTGTAAACGGTGATATTCGTCAAGTTTTGATAAAATTGTTGAATGCCAATAACTTTTATATGTCATTTGACCAAGTGCTGATAATGGTTTTTCTGGTGAACCTGTTTTCTTTTCTAATTTTGTTAATTCATAACCTAAAATCTTATTTAATAATATATCTTTCGAAGATAAGAAAAAAACTATTCTCACTTAATGCAATTAAAAATCGACCAAAACCTTGCCGTTGACGATGTGGTAATACCTAATAACATAAATTTAATCAATAGAATAAAATGTTGTATTGTTTTGCTTTACCATTAAACATGCCAAATTATAAAATTCATCACTAAGTTTTTCCTAGACAAAATTCATAAAGAAAAAAAAATCCATTTATAAATAAAATTAAATTGATGATGTTTACTTTTGAAAAATATCCAATTATATGTTGAACATTTTTTATTCGTTTATCAGATTCAACAAGAACATAAAAAAGAAATGGATTAACATCAAAATAAATTGTTTTTCGTTCAAGAAATAATTTCGCTAATAAACAAAGACATTGACAATAAAGCTTAAAATATAAAAAAAACAATAGACTATAATAAAATATATGAATTCTATTTGAATCTACCTGTGAAGTTGTTCCATCAACTTCATATACAGATAGACCATCAGGATGTTCATAAATTTTACGACCGGGTGGATACCGTCGATTACATTCATTCTAAAATTAAATATTTAATTTTAGAAATTTTCTATTGACAAGTTCAAGAACGAATATAGATTTAACATATTTCTAGTTAGGAATACTAGATTAGCATTAATATTAGAATAATGCTAATTCTTTAGGCATTAGTATTAAATTTAATCCTAATGCTTTGATATTTTATTTGCATTAGAATTAATTAATGTCAATGTGTTAGCATTAATTAATACTAATACAACATGCTTAAGTTCCTTATTGACTTATTATTATCCTCTAGAAGATTCTAAATAATTTTATTTTTACCATATGTTGTCGATATTTTCGATTATTAAGAAAATATCGTAAACAGTATTCACAAATATATAATTTTTCAATACTACGATCTTTTTCATTTGAACCATCTTCCACATTAATATATGGTGAATCAAACCAACAATCAATATCAACTTGACCTAATCGAATCGATGTAATATGTTTTATATTATTTGGAACCTATTAAAATAATCAAATACAATATTCAAACAAAAACTAAAAAAAAGAAAACAACAAACAAAATCGTACATCAAGTTGTTCATCATCACTCATTAAATCATCATCAGCCATTATGGAAGCAATCTAAAACATATTAATAACATTTTCTATTCGTCCCCTGATAAGCAAAAAAAAAACGAAACAAAATATTATTATACATAATAATCGGTTTACAACAATATTCGGTAAAATAGCACCCTTTGATTAATTTTTGATAGAAGAGAAAAAAAAAAGATGTTTTGTGTTATCACAAAAGAAAAGTTCGTTGTAAAAACAAAAAAAAAAGAAATTCATAAATGAGATTGCACAACAAAAAAAAAAAACAATCAAGAAAATTTAAAATTCATCTTTGCTTGTTTTAGTATCTCGTTGTTCAACTTGTAATGTCGGTATAGAATTCATTGTAGAATATTTCATTCGTTTTGCAGAACGATAAGCTGGATGTTCTTTAACATATTTAACCATTTTACGTACAATACGTGCAAATTCATATTTATCAAATGCATAATTTGTAAATTTTTTATGTGGTGTTCCTAATGTTGGATGTTTTCCTTCATCTTGTGGATAAACTTTAGCATCATTTTCCCATGTAAAATATTTAACACCACGAAGACGAGCTAAATCTAAATAACAATCTCGATCTTCACAATTATGTATTTCAAAGATAGTTGCCCAATCTGGTAAGAAAAGTAAATGAGTTAAACCAGCACCATGCATTCCTAAGAAGAAAATATAACAATATATATATTTCAAATATTGACATTTAAAAGAAAAAAAAACAAACAGCTGGTTATGAATTTGATTTTTGATTAAAATTATTCATTCAAAATCAAACAATCGATTAAGCACAAAGTTTAAAAAACAATGTTGTCTAGAAAATTAGATGAAACTACTCTATGAGCAATATGTCTGATAGTTGATACGCATAATACATTCAGAGAATATTTATCTTGATAGAATCGCTGATGAAAAAATTCTTGCCAACTCTCATTATGTCAGCTCTATTGAAACGAGAGAAAGTCTTAGAAAAAAAGATTGGTGTCCATGAGTCTTTCTTCATAAGTTCTAGTTATTTTACTGACATTTTCGATAAAATCTCGTGATTACATTTAGATCACAATCAAGTGCACTTTCGAGTTTAGTTTTTTTCATTCTGTATGAGAACTGAATGGCGGCGCTCTTCCGAAAATCGAATTAGTTTTCCTCGAATTTATGGCTATTGTAGCACGTACTATGTGTCTATGCTCCCCAAAACAGCTGTTCACCCTTCCGAAGTTAAAGCCTGGATAAAACACTGCAGAATCAATTTTTTTTGGTCTGGGTAACTCCATTTCTAGTGTTCTCGGTAAGTCTTATTTGGTTCCAATCTAAGGAAATCTATTCCAGAATTTATTCGTATCCCATCTAAAAAAATTCTTCAACACTTGGTTTTTTTTATTTATTTAGTTGACGATTAGGATAAGATAATTTGTTTAAAAACTACAGAATATTTAACTATAATCTTCAGCTCTAGTTGCAAGAGTGTTTTTACTCTTATTCCTAGTTCTGCACAACTCTAGGTAAGGCTCATCTCAGTAATGAATTGTTATTTAATAAAGTTTTCGTGCTTAATTCTTGCAAAAATATTAAATTATTTTGTAATTTATCATCTCCGATTAGTATATTCATTGTAAATCACAAATATATATATATACTCAACAGTTGATAGGATCTTTTTTTCTTTCTTTCAAGAAGTATCTAAAATAAAATATATTCATATACTAATGATTATTAATTTTTTAAAAATATTTTTGTATCCATAAAAAAAAAAAAGAAACATACCCATGAAAATATCTGTATTATGTGTAATATTAAGTTGTTCAATAAATGGTATATTAATATTATAATCTACAACATTAATTAAATAATCATTATTTTCATTCATTGAAATATTTCTTAAATGTTGAATAATTTCATTAGCATTTAAAATCTGTCGAAATTGTGTTGTACGATTCAATAATGTTATTCGAATTTGATTTGATTTTAATGGACCTAATTGTGGTATACGAAGACGATGAATAATATATTGTTGAAATGAACGAAATAAACTTGTTTGTGTACAACCCGGTATAAGTGGCATATTATAATAAAAACCTTTTGTTTTTTTAAAACAAAAATAATTTAAAATAAAATAAAAAAAACATAAAATGTATCAAAAGCAAAACATGAGTAAAAATGTTAACACTCTAATATTTTTACATAGTCGGATAAAGCTCGTGGAGTTGATCACGAATAACACCGTCACAATTTTTTTTTTAAGGATCTTCTTTCATATTTCGAAGATTGCAGCTCGACGAACTCTATTCAACTATGTAAAAATATTCGGAATATCAAAATTTTTTTCTCATGTTTTGCTTTTTAAATGCATACGTATTTAATTTCATCTTACCATAAAACATTCGAGCAAGAAATGAAAAAATAACATTTTGAAAACATATACGTTTTCCTTCAAATTCTTTAATATGTATAAGACGATTTGATGTAAATGCATTCCATGTATGAGAAAAAAAACTCCAATAATCATTTTTACTTGTATCCCATAAAATAATTTGTATATCTTTTGTAAATGTATTATTCATATGTTGTGTTATATATAAATTAATAAAATCACAAAAATGATGATACATATTATATCCACTATCAAGTTTAATAAATATTGTTGGTTTAGTTATATATAAATCACAATTAAATAAATTTGTATCATTAATTTCAATAAAAACTTGTAATTCAGAAAACCAACTTTGTAATGGACTTTTATGATCACCATTTTTAATTAAATCATTACGATTTAATTTACAATTACCACCAATATCACCATATTTAAGTATATCTTCACGATAACGATCATGATGTTTTGATGTTTCAATATGTCGAAAATCGATATAAATATTTTTAGCACGACAAAAACGTAAATGATCAACACATTCAAGGGATGATGAACAAAATTCTCTTAATTCATTACGTTTTTCTGCAATATAACCAAAATCAGCTGTTCGCCAAAATTCATTGATTTGTTTTTCTTTCGTTGTTGTCCAACCTCGACTATCACCAGAACATTGAATAAGCGATGCATTATTTTTACAATTTGGTTCATAACCCCAACAAGCTATATCAGATGATGGAAGATTTTTTGCTTGTTCATAATATGGACATTTATCTTTATCCATAAGACATTGATTATGTATAGAAGGATTATTTGTAAAGAAATAAATTGCATGTTCAATTGGAATATCAAGTTCTGACCAATTATAAGTATCACCAAAAACAAAGAAAAGGAATGATAAAAAAAAGATGATTAACATCTAGAAACGACGAAGCAGAGAAAGACAAATCATCTTGAAACTATTCTATTTTCTAAATCAAAAAAAAAATAGAGTCTTATTCTAATTTTTCTGTTGATGATGAAGTTCGTCGTAATGCTCGATCATAGAAAAGAAAACGTTGCGATTGACTACTACCTTTAAATTCAAGTTTGTCTACATGCCAACTAGAAAAAAAAAGAAAACAAAGAATATCAATTTATTTCAATAAAATATTCGATCATATTATTGCAATAATCATAGAAAGCAAATACTTTTCGATATATATATTCACTGTGAATAGTATCAAAGAAAGTTAATCGATTTTTAATAATCATTTAAAGAGTCATTGTATTTCGATACTATGAAAAAAAAAAGTATTTGCTTTATACTTAAAGATTATTGAATGACGATCTTTTTTTTTGTGAATACAGTAAGACCTTTTTAATGAGGGACTGACTAAAAGTGCTCACTTTGCGAAGGTTTTTTAGTTGCAATGACTTTTCGACTAGACAAGGTGATGGTTTTTTTTGTTCTTTTCAATAATTAATTAATTCAACTTGTTTTAATCATAGGTAATCAACGCGTCTTGATTTGATGTTACTAGATGTTAAGATAAATACAACAAGATATTACTATTACTGTTGTCTAATATTTTTCTTTTTCTATCTACAGTTAATTCATCCTTCTTTTCGTATGTGTCTCATGATCGTTTGTTATAATGCAATAGACATATGATCATTTTTTTGTCTCGTTCTGGATGTTAGAGATAGAACATATATACATAGGTTATTATTGTTTATCGGACTAGAAATAAGCACTCACAAGGGAACCTTTCTAAGTACCGAATCGCTTGAGTTGAGACTATGTGTATTATGTAGGTTCTGAATATCCTGAAAAGAATTCTGGTTAATAGCTTAGCACTACCGAGATACTGTAGCAGAATGTAGTGATTCCCTTCACGAAAACTGAGTTTCGAATTTCGATTTGCAACTTTGCATAGAGACACGCCTTAATGAAAATAGTTTAAATCGTGTTTTTCCCACTGCTCATATACAATAGCGGCAAATTCTGATCTTCTTATTTCAAAATAGATACAATCAAAAATTCTGAAACTCTTAAAATAAGCAATTCTTGTTAAAATCTGTCTCTATATAAAGTTTTCCTGGGAGGACCACGGAATTCTGCTACAGTATCTCGACAGTAATAAGCTATTATCCTGAACTCTTTTTAGGGTATTCATAACTCATTGGAATCTACACGATGCAAATAGTTCCGAATCAAAACAACAATTTGACACTTAGAAACGTTCTCTCGTCGTATTAAGAAGGTGCTCATGTTTGAAAGGTTCATTCCTAGGATAATTCACGCTTCAGTAGACTATAGTCCGATTAATATAAGGAGGTTTTACTGTATTTGAATTGTTAATGTAAAATAAAATGACTTACTCATCAGCTACTGAATCTCTTGTAGCATAACAATAAATAATTCCGGCACGTTCAGCACCTCGAACAGGTATTTCAACCTAAATAATATCATTTTTGCATAAAAAAAAGAGAAAATTTCTTTTTCTTGTCCGGTCTTTTTGGTTTTTTATTTAACATAAGAAAAAAAACAATAAGAGTATTTCACGTATTGGCGCTATTCGAAGACGGTTGTCGTCGATGTTTCAAACGTTCTTTACTCTTTGTTACTGCAGGTTCATATTCAATTTCAAGTGAACGTTTCTTTGATGATGGAATTGATTTAATTAATTCTTCTTCATCACTCATATCATCACCCATATCTTCCATATCTTCAGCATCACTTTCATCAAAATCTTCAACATATTCAATTTCTTCTTCACTTTCTTGTTCTTTTTCTTTTTCTTCTTCATCTTCATCACTTTCAACTTCTTCATCTTCTTCATCCACTATAATAAACAAAAAAAAAAAAAAAACAAGTCAAAGAGAATACAAAAATAAAATAAAATAAAATCTATTCTTACTTGAAATTGCATTAACAGGAAATGTATATGTATCTCCATAAGTTCCTTTTTTTAATCTTTCAAGTAATTCATTTTCAATAGCTCGATCAATATTTGCAGCAACAAATGCTTTTTCTTCATGACGACGTTCACGTCTTTCAGCTTTCTTTTTTATTGGTACTAATTCTTGTTTAGCAGTTTTTTTTTAACATTAAACGACGTGTACGAATAATATATTGTGTTAATTTTGTTAAACGTTGTTTACATTTATGTCTTATAAAACGTGGCCAATAAATCAAATGTTCATTAATTTGTTTTAATGCACGAATATAATTTTCATGTAATTTAATTTTTTCCCATTGTTTTTTTGGATAATGTGAACGTTCAACAACTTTCATATAAAGATATAAAATACCTTTTTCTTCACGTACAGTTGCATATTGTGAATTAGCTAATGGACATGAACGACGATCACATAAACCAGTTAAATTATATTCATTTGAACAGAATATTTGTGTTTTTGATTTTTGTTGTTTATATGAACAAAATTGTCCATTAAGAACAGACCAGATGACATCATCATGTTGCATTTTATTTTTAAAGAGATTTTAGATATTTTATCTAGAATTTAGGAATGACTCTGTTCTTCGAACTTTTTATTGAGTCTTATCTATTGATTTATATGAATATTTATTTAATAATACGAAAAAGAAAATAAAAAGAAAAAAAACTAATTTCAATAATAAACTTACTTGTGCTCCAAGAGGACCAAGAATATTGAATTTACTTGTTGTATCAATTTGAAGTGGTTGAATTGGTTCAATAAGTTTTTCAGTTATTGGTTTATAACCAGATGTTAATTCGAGTGCTTCTTTATAAAATGATTGTTCGAGAAAAAGACCTTAAAATAGAAAAATTCAATATAAAAAAAAAACAAAACAAAAAAGATAATAAATACTTCGAGCTTTTTGTCGTGCACGAATATGAGCATAATAGACAGCACTTGAACCAGCAAGACCAATAACTGATGCAACAAATACAAGTGGATGACCCCAACGAGATTGTTTTACGTTTGTTAAAGGAATTTTTGTATTTGAAGACATCTAAAACCGAACAATAAATTAAATCATCATTCATATAGATGTCGATTAAGTTATATTTGGAAGTATTGATAATAGCTTGTGTTTAGTAATATCATTAAAATATTTTAATCGAGATTATTCTTCGATAGATTGAGACGACAGCGCTACATATTCTTATAGAATCTTATTGGACAGAAATGTTCTTTAGACTTCACACATCATACACTCCAACTTTTCCTACGTGATAACTAACGCCATCTTTCGTATATCAATTTTTTTTTGGATAAATATGAATTAGATATTCTAGTAGACTCTCATTTAGGAATGAACTTCGTTCAACGACTTGTAAAACAATCAGAGATGTTGATCGTGGTTTAAAAAAAAACTGTCGCACGGCGATGAGGAATAAAAAAGAATTGACACTACCACGATGGTATTTAAAAAGTCTTTAGAATTTCATTGCTATGACTGTATTGAACTATATCTATTGTTCTAAATCCATGATATTCTACAAATCTCAAAGTGTTAGATTTATGATTGCGAAAATTCTGTGCAATTTATACATTTTTGACATGTCTTTCAGAGAAAAAGCTGTTGCCATAGTGGTGTATTAGGATGGGCTCACGAGAAAATCTTCTCGGATGTCGAATCACTTTTTCGACTGAGACAATGTTCATTTGGTGAGTGCTAGAGAGTAATAGAGAAGTCTTGAACGATTTGCTTTTCTAGTTCTTCATTCTCGAGATATCAACAAACAGCTGTAATCCTCTCAGATCACATGAAAAATCAACTTTCGAATTTCGACATTAAACTTTGCATGAAGAAAGTTTTTAATAAGATTATTTGATCGAGAAAATTTTAGTTTTTCTCGTATCTTCTTTCTGGAGATGTAAATATATGAACAAAATTTGCTTTTATACATGAGAGAATTTCCACTATCGAATATCTCAAAAATAGGCGATATTAGAAATCGTATGAAGTTTGAAGTCGAAACTCGCTCATATAATCTGAGGAGAACCACAGATTTTTATTGAAAAATCCACTAAAATTTCGATATCTCACACATGAAGGCCTGGAAAACTAAACCATTCTAAAATTTTCTATCATTAATTAGTGCTCATCAAATAAACATTGTCTCAGTCGAAAAGTGATTCGATACTTGGAGAACTTTCTTCGTTGATCCACCATGAACTAAAATACTGGTGCTGCCATGGCGGACATCTTCGAAAATGGTATAAATTCGAAGTATAATTCCTTTCGCAATATACTATTCAACAGTTATAATTATATTTATAATGCAGATTTGAGAACAATCATACAATTTGTAAATGTTTTTTCTTTTCATATAATATGATCTATTTCGTCAGTTATACGAACATCATTGGTATTATAATATTGAAAATAAGGGTCTGAAATTTGCTCTATCATTTTATATACATAGACACTTGTGTTCATAGAAGTTTTTGAAGTTTATATTTCGATTCAATATTTGCTTAGTCTTAAATTCAATTCGTACAAATGATAAGTAGAAATGAACTCCTCTTAACTTCTAAGTTTCTATTAATTATCAATGGTAGTCGAGTATTTGTTTTCATTTTCTAAATTTTACATAATTTCCCTTCATCAACTATCTTTCATGTCATATGATTTCTTTGAATTTGTCTTTTTTTGTTTAAATTAAATGTATAAATTCTATAGAAAGTTCATGAGCAAAGAAGTGCTACAGAGATTATTATTATTATTATTATTATCCTGCACCATACTCATCATCAAACTGATGAGTTGAATTGAAGATACTTTTTAAATTTATTAGTACAAGAAAGAAAAAGTGTTTCTTTATTTGATTACAACTTGAGTTTGTTGTTTTTTACAATCTGTTATTTTAGTCAAATCGATCATTCTATATTTTTCTTTTTTGTTTATATTTATTTAACTTGTTCGTACATGTCTATGTTGTCGTGTTGTTCGAATTGGAGGAAAATATATTGGATCACGATGAATCGATGAATATAATTCATCAATTCTTGTTCTTAATGGTGATGGTTCAAAAATATATTTTTTTAAAATATCAAGATATTTTATATGACTACGACATCTAATCAAAACAAAAAACAAAAGAAATCGAACTTTAATTTCATCAAAAGAAAACAAAAAAAAAAGGAAACCAACATACTGTTTTAATAATCTTCGTTGTCCTTCAGATGAATCTTGAACAAGACAATCAATTGCTACAGCTGCATTACCAGATAAAAGAATATGCGAACTATTTAATAATGCAATAAGATGTTCAAGACCATCACTTGCAATAATTGCTTCACAAACACCTATTTGATCAAAAAGAAAAACAAAATCTCTATATAAAAGAAAATAATAAAAAAACATATTTTCACTTGTTAAAGAAGAAATAAAATTAAAAAGTAAAAAACATGCAATAGTTGATTATTATTCATTCGTCATGCAATTATATTAATCATATGTATATATATGATGTTTTTTTTTTCAACCTGAATGTTTATGCATTCCAAAACCTAAAAAAATTCAATAGATTATTTATTTTTTTTTTATTTAATTTTATTATTTATTAACCTGTTGGTATACGTGCTAATCGTCCAATAATATCTGTTGGTAAAATTTTTTCTTCATCATCAATATAAGGATCAGCAATAATTCGAAATAAAGTTATTAATGTTTGACTAATCCATTCTGAAGCAATTATATCAGGAAAAAGATGAATGAAAATAATCATCTAAAATACACATAATTATTTTCTTATTAGAAAAATAAAAAAAAATTAATAGTATAATTTACTTGAAATGCTGCATTAGAACGAACAGAAATATTATTGGATGCTAATAAAAGTCGAAAATGTTCATGATTAAATGTCATATTTTCTACACAATAGTTATAATAATTAACATCATTACAAATGAAAGTAACCAATCTAAATAAAAATATTTATTGTTTTTTTTTTTTCCTATCATTGAATTTTTAATTATTGTATCTATACCCAAGACCAGCTCTAATTTGAACTTCTTCATCAGTAGAATTAAGTAAGAATGAAATACGTTTAAATAATTGTTGAATAACTGGTTTTGTTAATGTTTCTTTATTTTCTTTATGATCTATAAAATGAAATTTATTCTAAAAATATTATTTAATTCAAAAATAAAAAGAAAATTTAAACATACCAAAAATTGCATAAGCAACAGTTCCTATTGCTTTAGCTTGAACAATTTTATCTTTATTTGTTCGACGAATTAATACTAAAAGTTGATTAAGTCCAATAGCTTTTTGAAATATTGTTTGATTTGTTCGACATGGACGATATGTTGATAAAAGACATAATTGTTGAATACATTGTAAACATTTAAGAAGTAATTTTTGTTCATGATCAACTGATAATAATCGAACCATTGGTGGTATACAATGTCGACGTCCAAATTTTAGAGGAATATTTTCATTTTCTGTTGGTACTCGTCGAAGAAGTTCACTAATTGCATCAAGTACAATATACAATTGATCACTTGTTTTTATACTTAAAGCTTCCACTAAAGTAGATACTCCAATAGAATCTTAAAGAGAAAAATAAAACCAACTTTCATTTATTCTTCAATTAAATTATCTTACAAGCCATTGTTTGTCTTCGATTAGGTTCACGTCCTGTCAATGACCAAAGTGTACATATAATAGAAATACGAAATTTTGGTAATGTTGCTTTATTTAATAATGTAAGAAGTTGTTCAGCACCACCTTGTTGTAAAATTGTATATTGAGAACTAGTATTCTGTATAATAATCATCTAAAAAACGAAGACATTAGTTTTTGTTATTATATTTTATAAAAAAAAATAAAAATAAAAATTTACTTGAAGTGTATCAACACTTGAACGTTGTACATCTTTATATGTTGAATTAAGTGCACTTAATAAATGTGCAATCAATAAATGATTATCGGCACATATTTGTTGTTGTTCTTCATTTTCAAAGCATAAATTTCGTATAAAACGAAGAATTGATATTGTTAAAACACGATCAAATCTTTCAAGTAAATCAATAGCTTGTTCAAGAATTGTTCGTTTTGTTGATGATGAATTTTGTATTAATGTTTGATATGCATTTTTATAATGTCCAATTTTACCAAGAATATCAAAATAAAGACATACTTGTTTTATAGGTATATTCATTGTATCTTTATCTAATAATATTTGTAATTCACCAATAAGATTTTGATTAACAAATGCTTGAATACAACGTATATCATCACATAATTGACATACAATATGAGAAAAAAGTAATAAAATAATATAATTTGTTTTATGCATTTTAATAAATGCACGTGCACCTTCTTCATTTTGACAAAATATTGTTCGAAAATTTGGATCAATATACATAAGATTATAAAAAATAATTAAACAACTTATTAATAATTGTTCATTAGGAATATTAATATTATTAACTGTTTGTATAAGAACTTGAATAGTTTTTTCAATAAGACGTAAATTTGATATA